GAAAGGGTTGTCTGGCCCTGGCAGAGCTGCCCAGGGAGGTGGTAGAGTCCCCATCTCTGGAGGGATTTAAAAGCCCTGTGGATGTGGCACCTGGGGACAGAGGTCAATGGTGGCCTTGGCAGTGCTGGGGGATGGTTGGACTCAATGATCTCAGGGGGCTTTTCCAACCTTAATGATTCTGTGGTGCCATTTACAGTCCTTGTTACACCTTGCTGAGCTTCACCGGGTCTCAGATATCCTGGCACTGCCCTCGGCCATTGCCCTGATGTCCCAGGAGGAGATGGTAGAGGGCTGCTGGAAGGGCAGGACACCCTTCCCAGGCTCCAAACCAGGACCACCACTGGCTCCTCTCGCTAGCACTGCCAAGGCAGCAGCAGAAGACACAGTGACCAGCCTGGTCCTCCCTTCCCCCACCTCCCAGCGCAGCATCCATCAGTCCACATGACCCTCCCCCTACCAAAATTGGCTGCTTTCTTCCTTCTTCTCCCCCCCCCCCCCTTTTTTTTTTTTTTTTTTTTTTTTTTTTTGGCTGAGCGATGAGCTGTATGCCAAATCCATCTGCTCCTGTCTCCCCTAGCTGCCTTCCATATCGTTACAGGATCCCTGGCAGCGAGCCTAGACCTATCTCTCTCCCTGCACTCTTAGGAGCACATTCCTTTCTACACCTTTTCCCGAGCTGGGATAGAAATGAGTATCAACCCCAAACAAAAAGCATCTGCTTTCTGCCTGCTGCTGCCTCACCGGCCGCGCATGGGAGTTACACCCGTGTCAGCAGCGATTGCAAAACACACACAACCCCCCACCCCGCATCCAACACGGGCTGAGGGAACTCGGGGCGCCGGGAGCCTCCTCACACCCTCTCCCTCCCCATCCCTGCAGCACCAGCTGTGACCACCGCACCATTTGTTCCTCCAGCCCACGCCAGCACTCGGAGCCAGTTCTTTATCACCCCAATTAGCCTTGTCTGTGCTGATGAGAGGAGAGAGGCTCCCACTGCAAAGGCAGGGATGGGGGGAAGAAGAGCTGGCGTGTGCCGGGCACCGGGAGAGGCGACTCCCGGTGTGGTGGCTTTGTTTCCCTGCGGGGATGGATCTCGGCTGTCACCCCGCCCCGCATCACCTGCGTGGGGCTGGTCTGTGAACAGCTGCCTCAGTAAGGGCAGGGGACACCCTTCCTTGGGGTTTTCCCCCTTGGATATCCGCCAGTGGGAAGAGGAGCGTCCTCAGTATGCACCAGTCCCCAGGTGTTCTAGTGAATCATGGTCATGTTGAACACAGTTTGGATGAGTTTGGAGGTGCACCCTGGCCGTGTCCCCAGCGAGGGTCTTCTGCCTGCAGTAGCTTCACAGGGGGGTGAAGCAATTCCTCCTTCTCCCACTCCCTCATGACAGTGTCTCCCACATTGGTATGTCAGGGCACTGAGTGGTCAGTGCAGCCATCAGCCTGAAAACCTGTTTTTTTACCCCAAACAAGCCCCCTGTAGCCCTGTCTGGGAATGGTGCTTTTACACCATGTGTCCTTCAGTGCTGTAGGAACTTGCATCCCTCCTGGACTTCTCCTGGATTCATTGTTGAAGACCATTTTCTGGTGGACATTCCAGTGCCATCATCCCAAAGGCAGGAAGAGGATCCATCCCTTGCTCCAGCACCTCACTGGGAGGAAGAGGATGGACAACAGTTCAAACTCAGGCCCACACTTGGTTTGAGAGGACAAAGTCACCCTGTGTGAGGTGGGACAGGTCCCATCAGTGTAGTCCCAACAGGGTAGAACCTGCTCCTCAGAGCACCCTCCAAGGCAGGTGTTCCTTGACAGGGGGGTTCCCAGCATGGCCATGGCCAGCAAGGACTTTGCTGGAGGTCTTGGAAGCTGAGACACAAAAAAACCTGACAAGAAACTGTGGTCTCCAGATGTGTCTGCCAGTGGAAGGCTGGCTGAGCAGGTCCAGGGTGCTGGACAGCTGGAGTAGCAGTCTGTGCCAAAATAGGTGAAGTTACACTTTCCAACAACAAAAAACCCTGAGACAGTCTAAGACTGAACTGGTGAACAATAAGGTTGTGATTTAATGTTGCCTCAATACCTGTAACCCATCGCCCGAATGCTTCTCCCTGTTCTTCTCCATTTGATTTCCCACAGTGGGAAGAGTAAGTTACTCCTGATGGATTTCTGAAGGCTTTCCCAGTTTCCTGTACCTGCCTCCTTGGTGCAGACTCACCTCTTGGAGCTCCTGAGGCTCTGGAGCAGTTTTTAATACCTGCTTTGTTAAACTCAGCCAGAAATGGCTCCAGTTCAACCAGTCACCTCCACCCTCCCCAGCAAATTTCTTTCCCATCTTCCCAGGATTTGGAAAGGGGGCTTGAGTGAGTCTGATAATTACACAGCTCCAGGCCAGTGCCTGGGACTGGTTGTATCTCCTTCCAAGGTCTTCAGAGAGGTCTCTGACCAGGTGTCCATCCTGCATAAGAATCATGGGATCATTAAGGTTGGAAAAGCCCTCTGAGATCATCAAGTCCAACCATTCCCCGCTGACCCACGTCCCCAAAGGCCACATCAATGTGTTTTTTGAACACTTCCACATTAGGCATTGATTTCTGTGTCCCTCTCCTCAGACACCATAATCTCTCTTTGAACTATCCCTCTTCAATCCCATCCTTCCTAAAACCATCTCATCCAACGACCTTGCTGTGGATGGAGAGCTCATCCATGCAGGGAACGAAGCCATCTCCCTCCTGGACCCATGGGGAGGAAGCTGGAAGAGCCTCCAAGCAATTATCTCATCTGTCTCCCTCCACCGAGACAATTCTGCTTAAACTATTCTTGATGGGTTTCATCTCATTTGTGCTGAAAACTTCCCACCACAGAACACCCCACACCTTCCCCAAAGCGTTTGGTTGTGATATTTTGCTCCTTCCCACTAGGATACTCTTCCTGCTGTTCAGCTTGGATCGCACTCCCTGCTTTTTGAATTGTGTCCCAAGAGAACGTGAACAAAACATTCCTGCTTTTCTTCTCTTCCGCAGCCCCTCGCACACGCAAATCCCACCACACACCCCTGGAACTTCTCTCTTCCAGGCTCGGCACGTCCACGTCCTCAGCACTTCCCTACAGGTCGTGCCTTCAGACCACTGGTTTTGGGGTCCACCAAGGCAGATGTGGCTTTCCTTGGGGCTCCCACCTCTCCAGCCCCCCTTGGAGAGGGAGGGATTGTGGTGGCTCTCCGTGGAGACATCCCAGTAGTAGGTCGGGTTTTGAGCTGCCCCACATCCCCAGTGGTCAGCGTTGAACACCCCCCCCACCCCCCAATTCCAGGCCATTTTAAAGCACTTCACATCATCATTAAGGTTGGAAAAGACTTCCAAGACCACCCAGTCCAACCTTTGACCGACCACCGAGCGCCCACACCCAGTTATTCCTTGAACCCCTCCCATGGGCCGTGACCCCACTTCCCACCTGGATATTTTCCTACCGATGGATGAACCCGCCCACCCCCCCCAAAGCCCGGGAGCTTTTCTGTCTGTCTCTGGAAGGAGAAACCCGACAACAATGGGAGGGAAAGCTGCGTCAGAGCCAGGCAGATCGGAGCTAATCCTGCCTCCGAACGGATCCCGCCGGTGCCGGGGGTACGTGAGAATCGCCTCTCCTGCACCTTTGCCGGGTGCTCTCCCCACCACAACGCTGCACTCCGGGTTTCAGCACAGAAAGAGATGGTGAAGTTGCTAATAATGGCACTAAAAGAAAATATGCTACATCTGTTATGGATAGCAGTACAAAATTAGCTGATCACACCTCTGACACCCAAGATGTCTTCACTTAAAATACTCGTTGGCTTACTTTACATAATTTGCTGATTATATTTAAAAGAAATACAATTTTGCAATTACTGTTCTTTCTGGTGTGCTATCTATGCATCATTTTCTTTTTATGTTTATATATTTCTCCTTCATTAGTGCAGTCTGAAGGGTGATTAGATCCCTTCAAACATTTTACAGAGGTTAAACGTTGATTAAGATTTAATTATTACTGTAAATAGCTTGGAATGACATATGGTGCAAAAACCTGACATATGTGCATTTGAATAAATGAAGTGCTATTTCCCATGATGCTTCAGTAGCTGTTTAACAGCTTTGCTGAAGGGTTATGTTGCACCTCATGTTAAGATTGCTTTGATGTTATATTTTGTTGGGTTTTTGCAGCTGAAAGCTAAGAACAGTTTTTCCAGTTTTTAAAAACATTGAATATTTTAAATACCTAAATTGTTTTGCACAAATTTTTGCTAATTTGTCTAACTAGGTTAAACATTTTCAAAAGCATTTCGATTTTTAACGTGGGTTCTTAGCATTGTGTCAGCAACAGCATCGGTTCAATGTATAGGATTTCTAAAATTCCAGGCTTTGCGAGGTGCCCTGTCCCGGCTGGGAGCGGGATCTTTGCTTGTCGTGGGAACTGGGAGCACCACGGATTCCTCCCAGGGATGCACAGATTTGGAGTGATTTCAGAGCAAGAGAAGGCTTCATATGAAGCTGGCAAAAGGAAGAACTTGGGAAAGGACTGGAGATTTTATGGAGGCAGAGAAAGGAGTTGGTAGATTTTAGCTGTGATCCATCCCTGTTTGGAGGATGGATGGAGTGGAATGAGGTTGTCCCCTCCTTGCACCACTCAGCCCTTGGTTTTTCCAGGTCCAAGCCACAGCTTTGGGGTCTGGATTCCTTACAGCACCTTGGCTGTGGGAAAAGGAAAGGTTGTCCCCTGGAAAATGGTGTGAGAGCCTGGGAGACACTCTATAATTCACTGAATATCTCCAGTCATCATTTCCTGTAACACAAGTCAATCCACACAGGGCTGTTTTGAGGCTTGAGCAGAGCAAAGCACATTAAAATGACACGGGGAAGGCGAGATTGGCATGGAATAATTTCCATATCGTGCTTCCCCACGTTAATTTATTGATCTGTGGAGCTCCTGCTGCAGCACAACGCTCTGATCTCGCCTCCTCTTTGATTTTCACAGATTGAGACGTCTCGGCTGGAGCCGGAGATCGCAGTGGCCACCACCAGTAAGACTGTGATCTACAATAAAGGATTGTAAGTGGAAGAGGATCACCTCAGCCCGGAAGGTTCGGGGAGAGGGGGAAAAAGGGGGAAAAAACTTTGAGAAGCCGACTGGGAAAAAGAAAACAACAACAACAACAACGACAACAACGAGACAAAATAATCGAGCTCAGCGATAGTAACGTCGTAGTTCTCCCGGCGAAGCGGGAGGGAATTAACGCTTGCAGAGAGCTGACACCCTCACACTGGTCAAAAAAGATTAATATTAAAAAAGTTTTAACTTAGGCAAGAGGAGCGGCAGCAACCGCAGCAAAATCACGCTCGAACACTTTAGAAGTAGCTGATGAAGAATCTCAGAATTAACAGCACCGCACGGAGTCGACGTGGTTGGACCCCACCACATGAGCGTAGACTTCACCCAGCAAGTTTTGTTTTCATTGTGAATCAAGTCTCCACACTGATGCTGCACAAAAATAACTCCCTGGGGAATCGGCGGGAATGTGAAGTGCTCGATAAGGTGTTTGGGAATTGTCCTGCATTTGGGATCTCCTGCTGATCCCACCCCAGTGATCAGAGTTAAAGATTTCATGCCAAGGTCACGGCCTCTGCTCCCTTCATCCCTCCCTCCTCCTTCTGTGGACGGTCCTGGTGGCATCCTGCCCTTCATCCTGTCACTGAATCCCACCGCTGGGCGTTCCACAAGGGCTTTTCCCTGGATTTCAAGATACTGGAAAGCCACCACACCCACACGCTGAGTGGGAAGGGGTCTCGTAGCAAAAATCATGATGGATCTGCTCTTTGCCTTTGCACAGCCAGGAAAGATGAGAGTTGTCCCACCTAAACTTTAAAATTAAGGTTGTTAGTCTAAGATAATTGGCTAAGCCACACTTTGTTAAGATAGTTGTCCAAGGACAGAACATGATTTAAGCCCCAAGGTGGTCAGGCAGTTGGACTAGATGATCACTACAGGTCCCTCCCAACTGGAA